CTTTGTATATAGTAAGTCATTTTTGTCCAATGTATATTTCAGCTTTCGGGCTGCCGAACTTTTTCAATAAACTGTTAATTATTATTATTTTTTTTCCCTCAGCCTTCATAGGGTAAGGTCATGTATAGTCAGCGCTGCCCGCTGACGTGGCCGTGGTCTCTTAACCACGGAGACAGCTGCCAGCCCAGTCTGTCGGGCTTTCCCATCCCCCATCTGGAATTATCAACATCCTCCCACCATCAGTACAGTGCAAAGACTGATGATAAACCCACAAGTGATAAACAAAGGTGGCAATTTCAACTCGAAAGAGAGAAACAACTGTTAGAGTGACAATCATGCTTGGTGGTCAATGTTGCCCTGACCCTTGACGTGACACATCCAGCCTGCGGTACACTCGCCACCACGAACACTGGATGAGAAGCCAAGAAACACTCCAGACTACATCAGGAGAGAAATGAGGACTCCCTACTCCACCCAGGTGAGGAACTATGAATTCCTAACTACATCATATGAGGAACAAGAACTATCTCCAACACCCTGTGTGAGCTGGACGACCTTCCCGGACCACGTGGTGCATCTGCAGCTGTAGTGAGGTAGCGGCTTAGCAGCCAGGTACAACGGCCATCAAGACAGTGGGAAGGACTTTGTTGGTGCCGACATCAGGTCACAAGAATGTCTACAGACCAGCTCCCACAGTACTAGATTTATAGTTAATCTATATGTTGACTATGTTTCTTATGTTTTGGTCAATCAAGTGACCCACTCCCTGATTTCACTATATGCAACTTATCATCTCTGTTGATTGTATATTTTCAGCCTTGGGGCTGCAATGTTATCTTAATAAACCGTTAATTATTATTGTTATTACACAGGAATTAGCCATTTGGGGGGGAGAGGGTGTCAAGGTCACTTTTACCCCAAATGGACCCTTCTCCCTCTGGCTGGGAGGAGGGAGGTGTGATGTTGACAGCCAGGCTAGCTAGGTAAAGCAGGACTTGCAACTTCACCTGTGACTAATGAATTATTGATAGGCTATTGAAGCAAGAGGCTTTGCTCTAAAAGGACCTAGTTCTTTAGGGAACAGGCTATATAGGCTACCTGCTAAAAAGACTGCCTGGAATAAAATGCTGTTCCAAAATAAACTGGAAATTATCATTGTAACTGCTCACTAAATTAAGACTGTGAATGGTTGTAACCATGAGATTCCCTCAGCTGAATACGATCATATGGTTTGCCAGATTTAAAAACAACATTGAGGGAGGTTTGACGGTATTAATGTTTTGTATTTTAATTTTACTTCCAGGCTGACTAAATCACAGCACCATGGATGGCGACAGAAGAGAAATTAAGCATCCTCGTAGCAGTAGTGTAATATGGGAATATTTTGAAAAAGTAGCCAATTCACCAGGCAAAGCAAAATGCCTAATTTGTGGTGCAGTATACCAACATTCTCAGAACACATCAAACCTGTTTTAAGCATTTGAGTACCAAACATGGTAGTACATATGAGAGCGCTAAGCAGCAAAAACTCTCACTGAAACCAACAGCATCAGACCAAACCGGACAGAGGCAATGTACCATTGATACTTTATTCCCCAAAAAAGGGAAATACCCTCCTGGGTCACAGAAGAGTAAGGAACTGGATAAGTTACTGCTGCAAATGATAACCACTGATTTACAGCCTGCTTCAGTAGTGGAGGACTCTGGGTTTCAAAAATTTGTGAATGGGCTCGACCCTAGATACGAACTGCCAAGCAGAAGAAAAATCATGAGAAATATGCTGCCTGATGCATACAATTCAGCAAAAGCAAGAGTGAAAACAATGTTAGAAGATACTGAAGATATTGCCCTAACTACAGATATATGGACATCCAGACAAACACAAGCATTTATGTGCATTACGGCACATTTCATTACCTCTGACTGGATACTGAAATCACTTGTGTTGTAGACAGTTCAACTAAAGACAGCCCACACTGCAGAAAATATTGCTTCCAAGTTGACGCGTGTTGCTGAGGAGTGGTCAGTTGGAAATAAGATAAGGATGCTTGTCACTGACAATGCTTCCAACATGACTCGTGCTGCTAGTCTTGTGGGATGGCGCAACATACCGTGTTTTGCTCACACATTAAATCTTGTTGTTACAAATAGCATTAGTGCAAATGATGGTTTGACTAAGTTGATAGTGAAAAATATTGTAACTTTTTTTCCATTCTTCTGTCAAAGCTTCAGATAAATTAGCAGAAATCCAGATTCAGAACCAAATTCCTGAGCACAAACTCATGCAAGACACCAAAACTCGGTGGAATTCCTCGTTTTACATGCTTGCACGCATGATCGAGCAACATGATGCTGTTACGACAGTTTTGTGCCTACTTGTCCGAAATGAACTTTGTCTGTCTGCTGGTGAAGTTATGAAATGCGAGAAGCTGTGAATACTCTCAGACCATTTGAGCTGGCCACCAGAGAAATTAGTGCTGATCTTCATTTATCAGTGACGAAGATTATTCCAATTTCACGAATGTTGATGGAAGTCACAGCACCTGAGTCAAGGCCTAGCACAAGCACAACAGTAAATGAAGACTGGCTCTCTCAATGATGAGCTGCAGCTACAAGTAAGGAAGAGATTCAGCAATGTTGAGACAAACTTTTGGCTTGCTGCTGCAACTTTTTTAGACCCCAGGTTAAAGAAAGTGCCATTTTCTAACAAAACAATGGTTGACCAAGCACAAAAGAGATTAGAAACTGAGATGTGTTCAGTCTCAGTAGGAAATCTTGCACAGTCTGAGGAGCCTGATGAGCCAACAAGCATACAGCTACCATCACCGAATGTGGAACCTACTGAAGAGGTTGGCCTCTGGAGCTGGTTTGGGAAGAAGGCAACTGAACAACAAAGACACAGGACAGCAGTAGTTGATGCAGCTCTGGATATGCGACATTATACTGAAGGAAAGCTAATGACTAGGACTGACGATCCTCTCGAGTTTTGGAAAAAACATTCATTGGAGTATCCTCGATTATCTGTAATAGGGAAGAAGTTTTTATCTGTACCTGCGACGTCAGTGCCTTCTGAAAGATTGTTTTCGAAAGCAGGGGAACTTGTGGCAGCTAAAAGGAACAGGCTCAAGGCCCAAAACATAGACATGATCCTATTTCCCAACAAAAATGCATAAGAGCTGAGTAGGTTATTATGGTCAGTTTCTCTTTGTTTCATTCTCTTCTATAATTGAAGTATTTGATTGCTTGAGTGTATTTTTAAGGGGTTGAGGAATTGTATCTTATCTGATATTCTGATTAGTTCTTCATATAAATACTGTAGCCTTTAATTCATAACTTTATCTTTAGTACACGCACGATTCAACTGTGATATGTCCCTTCATGTATACTCAGAAGGATGTTTGTTTCTTTCACATTTTACTATCTACAAAGATGAAGGTTTTATTTATTTTTATAAATACATAAATACTGTATTTGTGTTCTAATACTCAATGAAAAGTAGCTTGCATAATGTGGTGTTTCCATCATATGTACAGTCAACCCTCGCTTTACGCGGTCCCACATTCCGCGTTTCCACGGTACCCTGCCGAAACCGGAATGCTCACATTCTGCAGTGCGTGTACCCCTGTATGCGGAGAGCGGCGCGAGCAGGGTGCGCACAAGGTCGCCCAGTCATCAAAACATTACCGAGTTCTTCACCCGCCACCCACCACACCGGCCCAAGTCAGTGATAGTGATAATTATAGTGAGGATATGGACTTATATGGACTTTGAGGGGTTTGACAAAGAGGCCCTGCAAGCCTCTGTGGTGGATAGTGATACAATTGATACCAGTGATACAGGCGAGGGCCAATAATCTGCCCTCTGCCTCGGAACCAACCCCCCATCCCCGTGTGCCCAGCCATCTTTTCTACTAATGTAAGTGTTAAAAAACCTAATATTATTGATATTTCTCTTAATTATTAATTGTGTGCATACCATCATAAAATAAAAAAGTTATTTTTACTACAACGTAGGTATTGTGTCTGAAAAAGTGGAGTTAGGGGGTCGGCCCGGTCTCTATTTCAATTAATCCTGTATGTTATGTTGTTCACTTTACGCTTTTCTCACTTTCCACGGGCCGCCGTGGGTTGAATTAACCGCGTAAAGTGAGGGTTCACTGTATATTCATATAAGGAAGCTTTTGAACAATGAACAGGTTTCTTAATTAGAATTCTAAATCAAAGAAAGTAGTAGCTAATGAAAAAAAAAAAGAACGTGACTTGGAAAATTGAGAAGCAGAAACACCAAGGGGGCACCCGGGGCTTGTACAGGCACTGCAGTAATGGTAGTGGGTTGGTACAGTAAGGAGGGGCATTGAAAAACAAACCCATAATCTCAGAATCCAGTAATCGTAAAGGTAATCGATTACTTTCACCAAAGTAATCAGTAATCGCGATTACAAAAAACTGGTGGTATCGCCCACCACAACATGGCACCCCCTTCTGGGTGGGACCGCCCCACCCCCCTTTTGTACGCCACTGGATATATATATATATATATATATATATATATATATATATATATATATATATATATATATATATATATATATATATATATATATATATATATATATATACACATATATATGGGTAGGAACTGTCTCGTAAATTGGATACGAGGTATCTGGTATTAGGTACGAGTTGACATGTTCAGATGGGTACGAGTTGTCCAGCACCCGCTGACGGTAATGAAATGATTCACACTAAAAACCTAAGAAAAAAATTATCTTCAAGGAAAGTTAGGTGTTAATCAGGAAATTTGCCGTTATTTATCTCAATAAGGTACAAAGGACGTTTGTGAAGGAAAAGGATTTACCTTAGAACAAAGTGACATTATATGTATATTAGAATGTTTTGTCTCCTACACAGCAAACCCTCCACCTGTTGATACTATCTCCCTCTCCTCCTATAGTAGGAACCACTAAATATGGGACATTAAAGGTTATTAGTGAGGCTCACCGTGTAGGTCGCCTCAGCTGTTGTGACTGCCAAGTTGTCTCTTCCGCGGGTCATACACCTTCTTCATTTATTCTTTCTATTTTTTGTTCATGATATTTTTGTGTGACTTCCCTTTATTTATCTGTAATTAAGGATATTTGTTAATCATTATATTTCTTATTTATTCTTCATAATGTAATTAATAGAAACATATATTGCTTTATTTTGGCCATTATGAAGAAAAATAGTTTATACTTAAAATATAATAGTGTTTTTATTTCACGATCTTGCAATATATTATTTATAATACGCACTAAATTACGTTAATGACATGGTCTCTTTGTATTTCGATAAGTTTCAATATTTAAAGTTTTATAAAGATATTACAAAGATGTGTTCTTTGTCGGGCCTACAAATGTTACTCAACCATACGTATACACCCATTTTATTTTCAGCAACTTTTAACAGTATAAACGTAATATAACTAGAATTACCATGAAATTAATAGTTTAACTTAATTTTAGTTCATAACCAAATGGTAACACACTCAGTTGAAGACACTATTACTGGTACTGGTACAACACTAACCTTGCCTTTACTTTATATTACCGCCACTGATCGACCTGTTATTGAGATAAGGTAAAGTACTATATCTCCATAAACGTTTAAATAAAAGTAAACCAAACAAAGCATTTGATGAATTGTGATAATAAGTTCGGCATTTTCCCCAATAACTTTAGGTTAGCATATTCGCTTCGTATGGACAATATAAATTACTAAGGAATTATTTATTGACCTTATTTGGAACATGAAATGGTTTTTTATTAATATATAACTATGAATATTTTCTTGTATGACAATTGAATCGTTTTACAGTTACTGGGACTTGACTTGTTCACATACACTAAACTTCCATTAGTCTCCTGACAACATATAAAACACCCATACCCAACTAACCTATTGTATATATATGTCGGACTATTAATATGTTTAATATTTTAAAATTAAGTTACATCCGTAGGAATAGTTGATTTGTGACTAAGATTAAAATTTTAAGTGAAGGACGCCAAAACATTATTCAATTAATGTTTAATAAATACTACGAACGAGTATGGTTTCGGGGTCTTCTATATACAGGCGGTAATAAATAATATAAATTTGATGAAAATTAACAAAATGTATCTATAAGTATTATGGTAACTTATTTATAGGCTTAAATAGTATAAGTCACAATTTAAAAATTCATTTGGCAGCTTTGTGATAAAAATGTTACACAACTTGTATTTCGGAAAAGGCCCTTCAGTTAAATATGCTTACTATTTACCATTATTTATATAACTATACTGGTTATACATATGCTGAATTAATATGAACTTATATGAAAGTTTAGAGAAGAAAATACCAAAATAATGTTGGGTAGTGTGTTTCAACATGGGCCAGGTGGTGGAGGATGGGAAGCAGCGTCGTGATGGTGGTGTTGTCTTGACGCACCAGACCAGTCGTTCCTACCACACATTTTTTGGCCTTCTTTGCCTTTACTTGACATCACTCGTAATTCCAAAATGAGTGAGACAAGTGCAGTTGTCGAGAAATCTCTTCGTTCAGTCTTCGGTTGGTCTTGGTATATTTTTATCAGTTAATAATGACTAAGTAGAAGGGGGGAGCGTGACGAAGCCGCGACCTGTGTCCTTAACTGTTAAGCCTTCTTAAACCTGGTGTGGCTCTTGGTGATTGGTTCTGGACAGATTGTTTCTTGGTTTTGGCTGTTAAACTGTTCCGTGCAGGGAACGATTCCTTTCGTGTAATAAACTTGGGTTGTAGAGAGGGCAGGAAGGTGCTGGGGTCTGCCCGCTACATGCAGTACTTTGATGTTTATTATGTCAATTCACAATACAAGTTTAAAACATACATGGCGCACGTTTACAGACATAATACTCACTGCAGGTATACAAACTGTACAGTGTACATAGTACAGGTGTGAAATGTAAACTAAAAGTACAGTGTATGCACACCAGGGAAGCGATGTACACTAGGTATGCTATTTACACACTGGCCATACAATGTACACAGTCCAGGTATACAATACTGTATACACAGTCCAGGTATACAATATACACAGTCCAGGTATACAATATACACAGTCCAGGTATACAATATACACAGTCCAGGTATACAATGTACACAGTACAGGTGTACAGTGTACACAAGCGTGTAAACAATATACAGATAAGGTATACTATGTGCACATACTACATGTATACAATATAGACACTAACTGCAATATACAGACACTAGCTATACAATGTCCAGTAGCTAAAACAACAATCTGTGCAGGTGGGGGTCGATATGCTCCGAAATTTTACGTGTGACTAGTGACAGCCCTCGTATACCACAATTTATCGTCCATGGTCTCATATTGTTTCCCACAAAGTATGCACAGATAATTGTTTTAGCTACTGTACATACACAGTACAGGTATACAATATACAGATACAAAGTATACAATGCACATGGACAGTACAGGTATACAATATACAGATACAAAGTATACAATGCACATGGACAGTACAGGTATACAATATGCAGACATAAGGTATACAGTGTACACACTACAGGTGTGCAAGTATAATCTACACAGACAGTATGGTATGGGTATACAATGTACACTGCAAATACCAGTAGGTTATGTACACAGTTGTCAGATATACAATGTACACTGCAGGTACTAGTAACAAAGGTGGCAGGTAACAACCATAATATATGCAGGCTATCTCTAAAGACCTCATTTGTCCCTGAACTATCAACCTTAGGACATTTCTTAACTCCTGAAAATGCCCAAAAGTGCATAAGGAAAATGCTTCTCGGGTAATTATGGATTTAACCGGCGTAAATACACGAGACACCTTTGTTTACAATGGGCAAGCCTGGGATCTTCTCAAAGTACTGCATCATTCATAAAGTGAACCAACTAACCAAAGATCCTAAAGTTATTCATATAGTTTGTAAAGGAAGACAAGGTGAGTGTTATATTACCTCACTGTTTGTGCTGTTGGTAGAGTGTTTTGGTTGGATCACCTCAGACCAGTAACTACTACATGTAATCATTGAAAGCTGGGAGGAAGACAATGTAAGTGATGCTTGATGAGAATGGTCTGGTCTCAGCACCAACTTGGGGAAGTTTTTTCAGTGGAAGATAAAAGCTTCCTTACCTTGAGGGAAATTACAAAATGTGTATGAGGAATACGATCTGTGTAATATCAGGAAATTAATTTTATTTCAGAGGAATAAAATAGAATATAATTTAGTAATTTAGGTTAGGTTTAGTAGGTTGGTTTTCTTCATTTTATAGATGATAAATTATAGAATGTATCCCTGAAAATTTTTTTTTCAACAAACAAACCTCATCAATCTCAGACAGAAGAGTTACAAATTGTACAGTGGAGTTTTGATAATTCGCAAAATACATATTCATGTTCTTAAATTCGTGGGCACCTCTATTACTAATACTTCTTTTTAAATTTTGTGGTCAAATATTCATAAATTGGGTCCATGTGGTTGCTACTGCAGTGTTTATCTACATAAGAAACCATAATAGTTGTAGAAATATTGTTTTAATGCTGTAATGTAAATGATAAATAAAGAGAATATATAAAACTATTCATTAAGAAAAATGAAGAGTGGGAATTGTATTCTCTGTGGAAGGTAGGAAGTCATGAGGGTGGGTAGCTAGACTGCAGAAAATTCTCTCCTTCTGCTGTTGGAGAGCTACATTATCCTGCGACCCCTATGATGTACAGTATGCAATTTCACTATAATTCCCATATTATTTAGTTTCATTAGGTGTTGGGATAATAAAACATTATTGTAAAAGAAACCCACACTCAACCCCAGATGAGATATTGTCATATTAAATTCCCAGTTCATTGTTTACTTTGACATACAGCTGACCAGCCAGCCAGCTTGTGCCCATGTCTGTTTCCATGCTGGTGAATTGGTGTCACCCAGAGGATGATTTTGAGAATGAAAAGAGCTGTTTATATATATTTTTTTATGTATTATGTACGATATTTAGTGTTTATTAAAGCAGTTTTGGAACAGTTTATGCGTATTTTTTGGCCTCTGGAATCAACCTAATTATATCCATTTAAATCAGTTAAACTATACAGTAATTCGTGATGTCTTTTTGTAGCTACTTAACCTGCGAATTATCATGTCTCTACTGTACTGTACAGTGAAATTACACAAAATGTATTTCTCCTGCATTTTTTGTTACTTAAGGTAAGAAAACTTTTATCTTTGGAAAATTCTTAGAAGATTATCCTGGAGACTGTATTATTTTCAACAGGTTCTTCACAACTATGGTTGGTAATGCAATGTAGTACAGTATGTTAGGAGTGTTTATGTATAGGATTTACTGTATATCCATGACACTTTTAACAAGTCTTTTTACTGGACTGTACATGGTTACAAGAGAAGAGAAGGGAAAGAAAACTATATTGTACATAGCTATTTTGAGAAAGATTTGGAAAGAAGTGTATCAAAGATGAAGATGGGTGTGCAGTACAGTGTTGTTGATATTTGGATGTGAAGCTGGTCTCTGGACACAAGTAAAACAAGCAACAGGAATGACGTGTTTGAGGACATTATTTGGGTGAATATCATGCAGGCAATAGGAGATGGCTGAGACTAATTGCACAGAAAAATTGCAACACAATTTCTTTTGCAGTAATAAATAATTTAATGAATCTCCAGAAACCTAACCTGACCTCAAGCGAGAGACAATGTGACTAGATTTTTCCATTCAATAAGCCACGGTGAAAAGACCATCTTGACATTTGCATAAACATATTACAGCTCAGAGGTGAGAGAGATAAGAGGAAGAGAACAAGTCCAAGAAGAACATGGAATGATTTTGGGGAGAAGGATGGATGCCCAGGATGAATGTGAATTATAGGAGAGCCTGACAACAAGTGGTTCATGGGGCTGTTGACTCATTAAGAGGAAGTGGATGACGGTAAACGTATAGAGAGTTAGTGTTTACTTTTGGTTGTGGCCGTGATGCAAGGTAGTGAGAGGGCCAGCAACACTAACATAAGAACATCAGAATGGAGGAAACTGCTGTGGGCATATTGGGCAGTCCCGTTTACACCCAACCCCTATTGCTCATATAAGCATCCAACCTATGTTTGAAGCTATCCAGCGTATTCCACTCGTCCACTACTCTGATTCCAAACTAATGTTTACCTATTTCGCGTCTAAATCTAAATTTGTCTAATTTAAAACCATTGTTGCGAGTTCGCTCCTGGTTGGATACCCAGTAGTTTGAGTACCTTTGTAATGTCCCCTCTTTTTAGCCCTAACTTCTATTTATACACCTCTATCATATCGCCCCTCACTCTACGTCTCTTGAGGGAGTGCAAATTAAAATGCTTTAACCTGTCTCTGTACTCAAGGTCCCTAATGCCCAGGATTAGTCTTGTCATTCTCCTCTGAATTCTTTCCAAAGATTCTATATCCATTCTGTAATACGGTGACCAGAATTGAACTGCGTCATCCAAGTGAGGTCACAAGCGCAAGATATAGTTTAGGATGACCTCGCTAGTCTTGTAACTAACACTCCTTTGTATGAACCCAAGTACTTTATTAGCCTTGTTTCAAGCAAATACACATTGTTTACTTGGCTTAAGATTCTTACTTATCATTACTCCTAAATCTTTCTCATTCGGATTTCTCAATAACATCGTTGTTCATCTGGTATCTGGTTTCCCTGTTTACATCTCCAATACTGAGTACTTTACATTTGTCCACATTGAATTTCATCTGCCATTTTTCAGACCATTCGAAAAATTCTTTTAGATCTTCCTGTAGTTTGCGGAATCCTCGTCAGATTTAATTTCATGCCCTATTTTAGTGTCGTCAGCAAATTTACTTATGTTGCTGTCTACTCCGATATCTATGTCGTTTATGTATATAATAAATAATAATGGTCCAAGTACTGAGCCTTGGGGAACTCCACTCGTGACGTTGCTCCAATGGGATTTAGTGCCGTTAATGCTCACTCGCTGTTTCCTGTCCTGTAACCACGCCCTTATCCATTTTAGAATGTCTTCTTCAATGCCATGAGCCTCCACTTTTCTTATTAGTCTTTCGTGGGGGACTCTGTCAAAGGCTTTGCTAAAGTCGAGATATACCACATCATAATTGTGTCCCTCGTCCACTGATTTGAAAACAGATGAAAAGAATGTTAATAGATTAGTTAGACATGAATGCCTGCTTGTGAAGCCATGTTGGGATCAACTTGTGCTTCTCCAGGTGATTTCGAATAGAGTTTGAAATGATTGCTTCCAGTAATTTGTCTACAATTGATGTTAGACTGATTGGACGGTAGTTAGAGGATAGTGATCAATCTCCCTTCTTGAAAATCGGTATTACATTCGCTATCCTCCAGGATTCTGGTACTACACCCGTTTTTAAGGACATGTTAAACAACTTTTCTAAGGGCATACTAAGCTCTTCCTTACATTCCTTTAATACTCTGGCAAATATCTCATCGGGACCTGGTGACTTATTAGGCTTTTGTTTGTCTATTTGCTTACTAACATCGTTACTAGTCACTACTATCTCGCTTAATTTATTTTCTTCACTATCTCTGTATAGAGTCTGTGCCTCGGGTATCATGTTTAAATTTTCGGTGGTGAAAACTGTTCAAAAATATTTATTCAGATTATCGCTCATTTCTCCGTCGTTATCAGCTAGCTCACCTGTATCTGACTGTATTGGTCCAATCTTTTCTCGTGTTTTAGTTTGATACATTTGATAGAATCCCTTGGGGTTTGACTTCGCCTCCCTTGCTAGCTTCAGTTAATTATTCCCCTTTGCTTTTCTTATCTCGGTCTTATCCCTACCTGCCAATACCTTATAATAATCTCGGAGGTAAACTTCACCACAATTTATTTTCCTACCTATAGCCTTCCTTTGTCCAATAATATTCTTTAAATAATTAATTATCCATTTAGGATCATTGTTGTTTGATCTGAGTTTTCTGTATGGTATGTTCTGCCTTTGTGCATGAAGTGGAACTCGTCAACCTCAGATCTCGTGATCATATCATCCTCAACCGTCAGGTCTCCAGGTATGGTGAGGTTGCCTTCAGTGGGTACATGACCTCATGTGAGGTCGTGTAATTCACCCCCAAGTGTGATACCCCTTCTCTCAGCTGCCTCTTCAAACTATCAAAGTTTGCCCTTCTGAAATCTGGGACTTAAGTGGAATTTTTCTTGCGGCTGCCCTGAAATTCTAAATGGAATTAATTTCTTTGTGATAGCTGTTAGCAAGTTCGTTCCCTACCTCGACATTACTAATGAGATTTTCTCTGTTTGACAGAACTAAATCGAGTATATTATTACCCCGGGTGGGTTCGGTTATATGTTGGCTTCGGAAACAGTCCTGGATTGTTTCAAGAAAATCCTCTGATTCTGAGTTACCCGTAAGGTCAATCTAATCTATTTGGTTAAAGTTAAAGTCGCCTACTATACAGACTTTGCTATGTATGGAAGCCCTGCGCATTTCATCCCAAATAAGTCGCTCATTATCTCTTATCAAGATTAGGAGGTCTATATATTACTCTTGTGATTAATTTTTCCCTACCATCGATTAATTCTATCCAAATTGTTTCTGTATTCCGCTTGGTTTTTATTTCCTTATTTATTTCACACTTCAGATTATCCCTTACATAGATTGCTACTCCGCCTCCTTTCCTAATCTACCTTTTGATATGGAATAATTTGTAATCTGCAATTTGGTATTCGACAGGTAACTCACGTGAGTCTAGGTTTATCCATGTTTCGGTGAGTGCTATTATATAGATTTTTTCGGTACATACCAAAGCCCTGATTTCATCCATTTTGTTTCTCATACTTCTACAGATGAGAGGGCCTTCAACACTAACATACAGATGAGAGGGCCAGCAACACTTAACATACAGATGAGAGGGCCAGCAACACTTAACATACAGATGAGAGGGCCAGCAACACTAACATACAGATGAGAGGGCCAACAACACTAATATACAGATGAGAGGGCCAGCAACACTAACATACAGATGAGAGGGCCAGCAACACTTAACATACAGATGAGAGGGCCAGCAACACTAACATACAGATGAGAGGGCCAACAACACTAATATACAGATGAGAGGGCCAGCAACACTAACATACAGATGAGAGGGAGGGAGAGGGCCAGCAACACTAACATACAGATGAGAGGGCCAGCAACACTTAACATACAGATGAGAGGGCCAGCAACACTTAACATACAGATGAGAGGGCCAGCAACACTAACATACAGATGAGAGGGCCAGCAACACTTAACATGCAGATGAGAGGGCCAGCAACACTAACATACAGATGAGAGGGCCAGCAACACTAACATACAGATGAGAGGGCCAGCAACACTAACATACAGATGAGAGGGCCAGCAACACTAATATGGAGAACTGGTTGATAGAATACTGTGTAGTGTAGCTATAATTGAAAGTGTTTTGGATATTTATAAGTATATACAGTATGTTCATGTTTAATAATCATTTTATTCTCCCAACAGTTGGCAACATTCCCTATGAAGCAACAGAAGAGAAGCTTCGGGACATATTCAGCCAGGCTGGTCCTGTGTTGTCCTTCAAGTAAGTGATTCTGTCTTGTGAAACTTGTACTCTACTGTACTTGTGTCTCAAAAATTATTGTACAAAACAGGTTGAAAATTTAGCAGGTCCAAATTTTTTACATAGTACTGTAGTACTAAATATTTTGATGATCTTTTTTGAAAATAATTTAAGTTCTGTACAATATAAACAAGCTGTTAATTATAGACCGGTATTGTACTGGTTTCATAAAGTGTTCTAGAAAAATGAGATAATGGTGTTGAAATTAATGTTTATTCTGTGCTGTACGCAACACGACGTCACTGTTTAAGGTTTTTGGTGCAAGCTAAATAATATAGTAATTTCTCCAAGTAAGGGTAGTGAGTTTATTGAGTTTACTGTACAGACAAAGGTAGATAAGTAAGTGATTCTGTCTTGTGAAACTTGTACTCTACTGTACTTGTGTCTCAAAAATTATTGTACAAAACAGGTTGAAAATTTAGCAGGTCCAAATTTTTTACATAGTACTGTAGTACTAAATATTTTGATGATCTTTTTTGAAAATAATTTAAGTTCTGTACAATATAAACAAGCTGTTAATTATAGACCGGTATTGTACTGGTTTCATAAAGTGTTCTAGAAAAATGAGATAATGGTGTTGAAATTAATGTTTATTCTGTGCTGTACGCAACACGACGTCACTGTTTAAGGTTTTTGGTGCAAGCTAAATAATATAGTAATTTCTCCAAGTAAGGGTAGTGAGTTTATTGAGTTTACTGTACAGACAAAGGTAGATAATAATTAACTAAACATTACATCAGTATTTCTCAAAATGTTTCAGACTTATGTATGACCGTGAGTCTGGCAAACCAAAAGGCTATGGCTTCTGTGAATATAAGGACCAAGAAACAGCTCTATCTGCTATGCGCAATCTCAACGGATATGAAATTGGTGGACGACCTTTACGTGTTGACAATGCCTGCACTGAGAAGTCTAGAATGGAGATGCAAAGTGAGTTGTTTATTATTATTATGTTATTATTTTTTGTTATTACTGTTATTGTTGTTGGTGTTATTATTATTACTAATGCTACTGTATTATTATTAAAATAATTATTGTTACTATTTTTATTGTTAGTATAGTGTCACTTAAATCATGAATTCAATATTAGGAAATATGTGTGAGATGATTCTACTTGTTGTTTCAGCCATTTTGTGCCATTTTTATTCACCTCTGCATTTTCCTCCAATTTTTCAGGCTTTTTTTTTCACATGATCCAGCCACATAAACAGTGAGAGAAAGAGATGAGAGATATACCAACTGTAAATTAATGTTTGGTTATGTTCAGGTTTAATGATGGGTCCTGTGGTTGAATCTCCCTATGGCCCTGACGTTGAGCCAAACAAAGCCCCAGAAGCCATCAGTAACGCAGTGGCCTCTCTCCCCCCGGAACAAATGTACGAGCTGATGCGACAGATGAAGCTGTGTGTCCGTAACAACCCCAGTGAGGCTCGCACCATGCTCATGAACAACCCTCAGCTGGCCTATGCTTTACTCCAAGCTCAGGTAATATATAAGTTCTTTGTGCACAATAAGGAGCAGGTCAGAGTAAACCATCTGTGTTAAAATATCAGCATAGAACAAATGTAGTGATAAATCATATCTTAACTAATGTAGACAAAGAAAATATTATTATTTTTTTTTATTACTTGGACCCAAGTTATCAAAATCAGAATTTCTCACACACTGGTCATCTCTCTGGTACTGTAATGTGGCTCATATAAAATACAGCTGAAATTCCATTACCTGTATTTTACATAAATGATTGGGATATATGCAACCATACAAACTGTAGTTCATGACTTATTGTGCTATATGTTTGGTATCATTTGTTTCTGTTTCGTACAAAACAAAGTAATAATGAAGACTTCATTCAAAAGCTGATTTTATCTTTGACTTCAACCTTTTATGATAAATATTTAAAAAAAATCTAACATCGTCTCTGAAGTGCTAATGCCTTGAAATCGTTTACATTTTGATAGTAGTACAGATATTTAACATTATTTTAGAAAATAACAGATCTGTTTACCTATTGTGTACATATTTAGTTGGAATAACTGGACAGCTACGTGAGCATTTTCTTTGAACCAATCAGCTATTTTTATAGAGGAGGGGCGTGGCTTATGGACCAGGTTAGCATGGAAATACTATAGTAATGCTGAGTGAGTGGTGCTGCCACATTGGCAGGTTCATTGCTAGTATTTTCCATTTCATTATTAATCCAGTACAATAGATTTTTTTCAGAGGAAAACATTATTTATTGACATAAGACTTATTTCTAAAATATAAAAAAAAGCAACCAAGAATTGGTCACTGTCTGTGTCAATATGTTCTTCAAGAAGATGGGTTACCTTCACCCTGTCTACTGCCACCCTCACTTCACTTTACCCACTGTCACCCACTCACCCTTAACCTCATCCTATATTGCCCACACCTGCCTCATCCCACCCATTCCCTGCTATTCGCGCCCACTTACGCCCTCAGGATTAAATCATAGGACATGTTGGGGTATTATTGGTACTATTTTTAATATTTAAGTTCTCTGTGTTATTGAAGTTCTTGATTAACTCTTCCAGGTAGTTATGAGGATTATCGACCCCAAAACAGCCGTTCAGATACTCCATGGAGGGCGAGAGGCGGTTGAACCGTTAATGCCTACGGGAACAGTACCTCCACCAACCTCAATTCCTCCACCAACCTCCGCTCCACCAACCCTCAATGGTGGACTCCCCGTCCCCACCAGTGGACCTCCACCACCCTCCAACTTACCCACTCGTTATCCTCCACCAATGACAGGTGGGCCTGGTAACTTTCAGGGTCCACCCCCTGGACCACCACCAACACGAGGACCTCCTTTCCCAGGTAGATACTGTACACAGTAACTGAGAATTTTTTTCCTTTACCCTGCTAGCTCAACATTCTCACATACCACAGTGATCATTGTAGCACTGTTTTCCCAGGTAAGGAATGTACACCCAATCCAAATAATGTTTTACACTACTTATGGTGAAGACAATTGTTGTGCTTGAATATGTACATGGGAAGATTAGAGTACTGTAGCTATAAATGAGGCTTTACAGTATTTGGTTTATAAGTACAGGGTGTTCCTGACTTACGAACACCCGGCGATACAAATGAGGTTCTATATGGTCAATTGTTTTAAGAATCCATCATAGGTACAACTGGTTTGTAGTACAGCATGCCCTTAAAATTCATGGGGGTTTTGGTCTCAAAATGGCCACGAATTGCCAAATTGGCGAATATCATTTGCTGGCTGGGGGTGGGGGGTAAATTTTTACTCGTATGCAAGGAAATGTTTAATCCCTTTATGTGTTTGCCCTTAGTTGCCCTTAGTTGTTGAGAGAGCAGAGTAGCACAGACGCGAGACAGACAAGTGTTTATCCCGGACTGAGGCGGAGTGAGCGCACATGGCCCAGCCACCTGGGACAAGAGAGACACCTTGCGGGATGCCATAAAACTCGTGGTCTCAGCTGCGAAAATGTTGCCAACTTTAAAACTGTTGTTTTTTACTTATAAACTATTTTTCTGCCCTCATCATGGCTCCCAAATGCAAGTCTGATGCAAGTGATAGTAGTGCATCCAAGAAAAGGAAAACACTTACAATGGAAGTGAAAGTTGATGTAATTAAAAGTTCTGAAAAAAAGCAAAACACCCTCAGTCATTGATAAAGTGTTGGGCTTCAGTCTTTCATTGATCGGAACAATTTTGAACAACAAATATAAACTTTTTGAACTTGTAATAGGATCTAGACCAATACACTCAACTGTGATCACAAAACAAAGATTGTTAGTGATCTGGGTGGAAGATCAAAATTAATGGCATTTGCTTATAAGTCTAGCCTTGATTCAGTTTCATCCTAATAAAGCCTCTGTCTCTACATGCCAGCCATCCCCAGGTTTCAATGTATGTGTTTTGTCATTAAATTTTTTATTTTCTCTTATATTAAGTGATTCTAGTTGTATAAAAGGACTCAGGCTATGATATAGTACACATAGGGTATGAGTTCCGCCTTTTGTACATTTCCGACTTAAGAACGTTCTCAGGAATGGAACTCGTTCGTAACCCGAGGACCCCCTGTATGTAGATACAAAGTGAATTAGGTATGGATATTGTGTACTTCCTGGCTGTGGTCCTATGTGTTGCCACACCCATGTATAAATACAAGGATTATTCCAATCCTTTATAAATGGGCGAGTAAACATTTTTTTACAGTGAATGATGTTTATTATGTCGTGGGTGGTGACTTTACTAAGTCTACTGTGTCATGGACAAAGTTAATAATAGACTAGAAGATACAGAGGAGTTAAATTGAGTAAGGGTTTACAATGTACAGTAGTGCAATATTGTAATGTACAAAATGTCTTTACCTACAGTAAGTGGTGACTTTGACATGCGGCAGCTGGGAGGGGCACCGAGGGGACCACCACCTCAAGGTAACGACCAAGACATGCGACTACCTCCGCCTGGCATGACGGGTCCCCCTCCACCCCACGATAACTATGGCGGGCAACACCATGACTTTGACAGCAGGTAAAGAGAGGCAGCTGTCCTGTAATACTTGGTTAATATGCTTCTCTTGCCAGCTGTAATTATTGTACTCTTGGAGCATTTTCATTTATTTTAAATCTAATGAATTATTAAACATTGAGTTTGTTAATGACATGTTAAAACAAAGTTGATGTTAACAACTCACTCAGATGTAGAAGCTATTGTAGAATGACACATAATCTATTGTCATAAAAATATCATGGAGCAGCACTTTGTAGCTTCGTTAGGCATATTTGGCTGGACATTTTTATAGTAACCTCACGCTTTTTTTCATGTTCAAGCCGACAATCAAAGGAATCAGAAGGCAACGATAGGTATGACAGATTAACCGCATATATTTTTGTCTGTTTTATTTGTCAACATTTTTATTTCTTTCAACCCTACTTATGCTTTAGAGAATTATGGCTTGTTAACTTCTCAGATTATTAACAGTTTAGAGTTGACTGTGACTAACATTACTTTAGTGTGATAGTTTAGAAGGGTTGTGTAGACTTGTATTATCTTATACTTTTATGGGATAATATGTATTATACAGCACTAGTTTTTAAGGCTTAGTTTACATATACTGCACAGTATTTTACTGTCCAACCTTCTTGTTTGCAACAGCTTTGAATAGGAATTATTTTTATTGGCCGCTACAGTACCAAGTTTTAGCCAGTTATTTTTAGTTTAAACTTGTGGAATGTTAACAGAGAATATTAACAAGAGTGAGCATGCACGTCCCTCAGTTCCCTTCTTCCTCTTACTAAACAATCTTGAGGAACCTCAATCTTATCTCTGTCAACAAGCTGTCAGGTTATAGCTTGTAGACCTGTTCTTGTATTCATGTGAAGGTAAATTTATTTTAGGTCATACTTGAATAAACTTGGTGTACAGTTGCCTGCACTTATACCTGGTACAGTAGCTGGTGTGTTTTGTGAGATGTGGCAACTCTGTGTTTGTTTACATCATATTAAAACTCCTGGAATGGCCTTAAAGAACCTCGCAATAGTAGCCAGACTAAGGATGCTAGATAAACTTTCCTTAGTTTCCTCATATCACAAAATCCTCCAGCCACTGTACCAGGTATAAGTGTAGGCAGCTGTACATTCGTTCTTGCTCTGTGGGTCAGATATTGAAAGGTTACATGGATGGTCTCTCTCTCTTACCTGTTATCTTTCTCCTTTCCCACATTTGCATGGGGTGACTCAAAGAAAACAGAAACATCTTCAAAGGGAGAAAAGCTAGTGGAATAGTTTAGAAAGGACTGACAGGAAGGGTGTAAAAAAGTCAGTATATGACAAGAGTTTTTCTCTGTAAAATAACTGATGGTATGGGACCAAGTGCTCCATTAATGGTAATTTATAACATCGCTTGAACTAGCCCGGTGGTGCTCTGGATGTGGTCTTACTCCATTTCACCCATCATTGTTAAGTCTTCTTGCACCTAACTTTGTCTGACATTATTTTACCTTACCTTACCTAACCTTACTTCACCTATCTTTGTTAAGTCTACTGACACCTTTTCATCACACTGGCCCCATGAGCCAACACACACACACACACACACTCACTATAGTGCATTTTTTCTCACCTGAGAAAAGATGCCCCGTGCCTTCCCCAAGAGTTACAGCTGATTGGCTGTTGCAAACCTGTTCAGTTTTGTCCTGAAGTAATGATGTATTTCTAAATGAGTTTATTCATAATCGTTGGGATGACCGTTTCTGACGAGAAAGATATTTAGCTAAATTATATAAAGATAAATACATTCATTATTTCAAACATAAGCACATAGGAAGTTTATCAGAAGTACTATACATGAAATAACTGTTAAACTCTGGTAGCAAATTCACGCTTTCAGAGGACGCATTTAATATATACTTATTTTTACCCACAATAAGGCATACTAAGACAAATTACGTATCAGTTATACTACATTATGCAAAAACAAATTTTTTAAAGATCAGAATCACATTGAAATATTACACAATCGTTAGCAGAGGCGGGAAAAATATGAAGTTGTTCGCATTCATATTTCCCGCCTACGTGCTTATGTTTGAAATAATGTCTGAGTGTTGGTAGAGTGTGAGGCTTATGTCTGAGTGTTGGTAGAGTGTGAGGCTTATGTCTGAGTGTTGGTAGAGAGAGTGGAGCTTATGTCTGAGTGTTGGTAGAGAGAGTGGAGCTTATGTCTGAGTGTTGGTAGAGTGTGAGGCTTATGTCTGAGTGTTGGTAGAGAGAGTGGAGCTTATGTCTGAGTGTTGGTAGAGTGTGAGGCTTATGTCTGAGTGTTGGTAGAGAGAGTGGAGCTTATGTCTGAGTGCTGGTAAAGAGAGTGGAGCTTATGTCTGAGTGTTGGTAGAGAGAGTGGAGCTTATGTCTGAGTGTTGGTAGTGTGAGGCTTATGAGTGTTGGTTGTGCTTATGTCTGAGTGTTGGTAGTGTGAGGCTTATGTCTGAGTGTTGTAGTGTGAGGGCTTATATCTGAGTGTTGGTAGAGTGGGGCTTATATCTGAGTGTTGGTAGAGAGTGGGGCTTATGTCTGTTGGTAGAGAGTGGGCTTATGTCTGAGTGTTGGTAGAGTGGGGCTTATGTCTGAGTGTTGGTAGAGTGAGGCTTGTCTGAGTGTTGGTAGAGAGTGGGGCTTATATCTGAGTGTTGGTAGAGTGGGGCTTATGTCTTATGTCTGAGTGTTGGTAGAGAGTGGAGCTTATGTCTGAGTGTTGGTAGCTTATGTCTGTGTTGCTTATGTCTGAGTGTTGGTAGAGTGGAGCTTATGTCTTGTTGGTAGAGAGTGGGGCTTATGTCTGGTGTTGGTAGAGTGTGAGGCTTATGTCTGAGTGTTGGTTGAGTGTAAGGCTTATGTCTGAGTGTTGGTGGAGTGTGAGGCTTATGTCTGAGTGTTGGTAGAGAGTGGGGCTTATGTCTGAGTGTTGGTAGAGAGTGGGGCTTATATCTGAGTGTTGGTAGAGAGGGGCTTATATCTGAGTCTTATGTCTGAGTGTTGGTAGAGTGTGAGGCTTATGTGAGTCTGAGTGTTGGTAGAGAGTGGGGCTTATGTCTGAGTGTTGGTAGAGAGTGGGGCTTATATCTGTGTTGCTTAGCTTATGTCTGAGTGTTGGTAGAGAGTGGGGCTTATGTCTGAGTGTTGGTAGAGAGTGGGGCTTATGTCTTGAGTGTTGGTAGAGTGTGAGGCTTATTTCTGAGTCTGAGTGTTGGTAGAGAGAGTGGAGCTTATGTCTGAGTGTTGGTAGAGAGTGGGGCTTATGTCTGAGTGTTGGTAGAGAGTGGGGCTTATGTCTTGAGTGTTGGTAGAGTGTGAGGCTTATGTCTGAGTGTATTGTGAAGGGAGAGACTTGTTCCCTGTGAAAATATGGCCATATCAATGATGGTTGTGGTTGTTAAAACACCTCTCATTCTGGGGATATTAATTTTGTGTGTGTGTGCACAGGGTGGTGTAATGCACCTTTTTATAGCAGCATTATTTCCGTGTTAAGGTGCAGGCATTGCTTGCTCCCTCTCGCTTTCAGCTACTGCCACAGGCTAGCCCTTGTGGCGACCAGGGAAGCAACTTGCATAAGTCTTCCCCTGCCAGTACACAGTCTCTTCACCATCAAGACTCCTGCTGTGCTTCCTCGCAGCAACACACTGTAACTGGGTGCCTCGTGGGCCCAGGCTAGACCAGCAGGGGATCTCGGAACAGCAGTGGGCTCCAGAGGGACGGCGCATAGGCCAACTGGCATGTGAACACGTTCTGGAGCCTACCAACCATTGACCCGCTGCCTTGCGGATTAACATTGGTAGGTATAAGGCTACGGGAGTAAACACCGAACGAAAAATTTGCGGTGGAGACCCGCATCAGGCAGACATGCTTACAGAGCTCCAACAAAACCCCAACTGGTGTATAGGCAGAAGAGGTGACCACCATGGGTGCCCAACGACTACACCGGTGAATGAAGGCAATGCACGATGGACAGACTACTAAGGCGAAACCCAACAAACTGGGCTATCGGCAGTCCATTGCACCTCTCCCTCTTCCCAGTCGTTGCAACACTTACACCACTGGATCAGGAAAAGGGAGAGCCAAGATGTGTGGTTGCAGCCTGCGCTTCTGCCTCACCACATAAATCAACTCATGCACAGCCATCACCCAGCTCATCATACCTCTCTTCATCATCAAAGCCCCTATACCCCCAAAAGTCCTATGGCGTTGGGGACAGGCAGAGACGACTGCCAGGAGTCTCTAATTACAACTCTGCACATGGGCGGCACAGATAAGATGGTCATTTATGCACTGGGATCTAGGCAGCAGTGCAATCCAGTCCTGTCTATGCGACCAAGCAGGTTTTCCGAGGAGACACTCTGCACGCCCCACATGGGGAGGGGGTTGAAAAGGTGCCCTAAACATAGCCTGACTAAAAAACCAACCTGACTGGTCAACCGCACCCAATAAGGTCATCCTTATGCGGTCGAAAACACAATTAAAATCACAGATCCAAACAAAAACAAACTATACAACCTCTTATGGTCACTGCATGTAATGTCAGAACCCTTCCGGATACTGGCCCAAATAAGCGTCCTGAAAGAAGAACTGCTCTTTTGGCAAAAGAGCTGGCTCGGTATAACATCGACATAGCAGCCATTAGTGAGTCCCAGCTCCCAGACGAGGGTTGACTCACAGAACGGGGGTCTGGCTATATCTTCTTCTGGAAGGGTAAGCTTGCTGCGGAGAGAAACTGCATTTATGAAGTTGGCTTTGACATCTGCCAATGAATCCTACACAGGCTAACTGAAATGCCTCTTGGGATCAACAAGCGCCTCATGACGCTCCAAGTCCCACTGAATCACTCATGTCATGCCTCAGGGCATGATGGAATTCCATCCGAGGTGTATAAAGCAGGGGGACCTCTGCTTACCAGCCGTCTCCACACTCTCCTGGAGAATATATGGGAAAGGGAGGAATTCCTCCAAGCTCTTAAAGATGCTTCCATCTTCAATGTTTATAAGAACAAGGGAGTCCCATCAGACTCTGACAACTGCCGTGGATCTCGCTGCTGTCCGTAGCTGGCAAGATTATCGCCCGAGTCCTCCTAAACTGACTTCTTCCTGAGGCGGAAAACTTCCTCCCAGAATTTCAATGTGGCTTTAGACCATCACATGGCACCACTGACATGATCTTTGCTGCTCGCCAAATACAGGAAAAGTGCAGAGAACAACGTCGCGACCTGTACATGGCTTTCATCGACCTAACCAAGACCTTCGACTCGGTCAACAAGAAAGCCCTCTGGTGGACCCTCAGCCATTTTGGCTGCCCCCAAAATTCATGAATGGGAGTGTCCTGCACAATGGCACCCAGTCAGAGTTCTTCCCCATCCAAACAGGGGTTAAACAAGGATGTGTACTGGCACCAACTCTCTTTTCCATTTTCTTCGCTGCCTTCATTACATCGAGTACCGGATGAAGGGCCTTTTCAACAGAAGATGATTCCAGGCAATAACAAAGGTGTCAGCGGCTTCCATTACTGAACTTCAGTATTCAGACAACCTTACTCTTCTTGCTCACACTGAATGCGACCCACAGGAGATCCTGAATACCTACACAGATGCATATGCACACTTTGGCCTTGAGGTGAATGTTCATAAGACTCAGATTCTCTTTGAACTTGCCCCTGGTTCAGACACCCCTCCACCATCCATCCAACTTAACGGTACTACCCTTTCAAATGTTACCCACTTTCGCTATCTCCGCTCCCACCTGTATACCATCGCGGACATCGATGAAGAGATCCAACATCAGATCAGATGTGCATCTCAAGCCTTTGGAAGACTTTGAAACCGTGTCTTCAGCTGTAGGGAGCTGAAATTATCTACAAAATTATACGTATTACGAGCAGTGGTTCTCGCCACCCTGCCTATATGGCAGCGAGACCTGGGTTACATACAGGAGGCACCTCAAAGCACTTGAAAACTTTCACCAACGTAGTCTACTTTCCATTTTCGGAGTTCGCTGGGAAGACAAGAGAACAAATGCCAACATCCTCACTGACACCAATTGTAGGAGCATCGTGGCTACCATTATCCATGAACAACTACGCTGGACTGGCCATGTTACCCGCTTGGACGACAGTAGACTGCCAAAGCAGCTGCTTTACAGTCACCTAGCGAATAGTAAACATAGCGCTGGCGGGCAACTGAAAAGGTATAAGGATAGTCTTAAGACAAATCTGAAAAAGTGCCAAATGAGGAGTCGATTACTACTCATCGTAACGCTTGGAGGAGCACCACACGAAAGGGTGTCAATACTTTCGAATTAACCCTCCTGCAAACCGAGGCAGACATGCACCAACGCCGGAAAGACATTGCCACCGCCCCTCCTGCACTCGATGTAGCCCTCCACATGGGCAACATCTGTGAACAACTCTGCCGGTCCCGTATCGGCCTCTTTGGTCACCTCAAAACTCACCAATGAAGGCGACATCCCGAATAACTCATATCATTGTATCATAGCTGGATGATCATCATACTTGAATCCGAGTGACAGCAAAGTACTAGTAGTAGTAGTAGTGTGTGTGTGTGTGCGTGTGTGCGTGCGTGCGTGCGTGCGTGCGTGCGTGCAGTACCTCAGAGATGTTAGGTTTGACTCCTGACCCATTCACCTCATGTTCCAGACACAGCATCAGTGCCCCCAACTATGCTATAGTGCATTGGTTTATGTTTATTGGTACAGAGGTAACACGTGTGTGTGTCTCACCAATGTGTCAAGGGTTCGAGCCTCGGCCCGGACATACGTGAGAAGGGTGTTATCCAGTGTGACCCTCACTACTAAGCACCACAGGTTTCTCGGTTTCCCGTTTCCTGCAGTACTGACACTGGATAGACCAACTGCCAGACTGGCAAGTAAGCTGACACGTGGTGAAAATTATAAGAAAAAAGTACTCTAGTTCATGTGCTCTGATCCATTTTAAACAGATTTTTTTTAATGAAATTATAAATAATAATTAGGTGGCTATATTTCTCTTAATGGACATCTTTTGTTTGACTTAACCTTTGAAGACTTTGCCATTTTTAAGGGTATTTTTATTTCTATAGTGCAAGTATATAAGGCAAATGCTTCACTGTTGTGTAAATCAAACCAAGATGGACAATTGTTGAGCTGTTGTGAAGATGGGTGTTTGTTGTGGATCACCAGCATGTGTAGTGGAGCATGGCTGATAGTGGTGGGTCACATGAGTACAGGAGGTGGCTTGTGCAATGTGGGACTGCTGACTCAACCTTTTTTTGTATATTATCTTTATTATTGGACCAAACAACAGTCTCCTCATGTTTATCTTGAATGCATCATCTAGGAAGTAATGAATGATAATTTGTTAACCTTCTGAAAGTGTTGAAATTACTTTGGTAATTGTAAAACTAATCCAGTCTGAATTTCATTAAAAAAAATTTTTATACAGTACATTATAAACTTAGATTTTTAAAAAAATGGCTTAAATACGTTTGATTAATATATCAGTGTTTCCTGTTACTTGTTGTTAAAGCTACACATTATTGTTTGGTCCCATGACATTGTCATAGTTATCATTGTGATGTATGGACATAATTATGGTATAAATGATATTCTCTGTACAGTGTTACCATCATATGCTATAGTATGCTTAATTACCCTCATTTGGCCAGATGTACTGTATGGTAATGTTAAACAGTGTGTATCTGTTGTTTTGAACTGATGGACTAAACTGTTATGCATACATCTGCCGTTGCAGGTATCCCCGTGATCCTCGCTCTGACTTTGACCAGCGAGACCAGAGGACAGAACAGCGGGATCAGCGTTTCCGAGAACCCCCGCCGAGCCGTGAACCTCGAGAAAACTTTAACCGCAGTGACCCGAGAGATACCAGGTACACTTGGTGGTTAATCTGTTGAGGTGTTTGATCACACTAGATACATTGAATCATTCCATGGGGCCAAGAACAGTGCTATGCAGCTCCTACTCCTCCTACCCATGCATATTTTTTATTCTCTTTTCCACCTTCCTTTTCATAGTTCATCATTATTGTTTTTCTGTCTACTGTGATATAATTTAACCCCCAGGTTTGCCAGTCAGCCAAAACTGCTCTTGTTATTTTAATATACCCGGTATGCATTACTGACCACCTCCGAACACAAGGACAGCTAAAAATAGCCACAGGCGGTCACAGTCAAGGTCACTTTCCCTTTCTTGTCACTGGCAAATGGGGGGTGATGATAGCAGCTGTGTTTATTACTGGGGTATATTGTTCTTTTACGGTATGTTAGACTGGTTTATAATACATTTTTATTATTTTAATATACCGGTAATCTTCATTTTAATCCAGCTTCCCAAACGTAAGTTTCAGTATAAAATAATTCGTGGTAGGACCTTGTGAGTGGTTTACCATGTTTCCATCACCACTCTTGACACGCTAAACCGCAATATTTAAGAGGTAAGAATTTTATCTCTGGTGCTTAAGACGACCCCCTAACTTTGGGCTGATTTTTTTTTTGGTTCAAATTCCGTCTTGTAGGCCGAGATATACGGTATATACAGTGGTCCCTCGGTTAACGAACGGTTTGATTAACGAAATTTTGGTTAACGAATTATCTCCCATAAGGATCTTCAATTCGGTTAACGAACAAAACTTCGATTAACGAAATCCTTACGACAAACACGTTTTGTTGTGAGCATCAGCTGATCAGCTAGTCCGCCAATACAGTAATCGCTTCTAGGCTTACATTCGTTTCCAGTGGAGTAAATATCAATAAAGTTGTGCTCTTTAATATTTTTTGCATTTTTTATATTAAAATTATTAGTCATTTTAAAATTTAGTTAACATATTGATAATACAGTGACCCCTCCGTTAACGAACTCAATCCGTTCCAGAAGGTCGTTCGTTAACCGAAAAGTTCGTTAACCGAAACCATTGTTTTAATGGGTTTTTGGGTAATTGGTTCCAGCTCACCGAAAATTTCCTAAATTCAACAAAAATGGTAGAAAAGTTCACTTACTTTGAGGTGTGTATGTAGAAGGCTCCTGGACGATGATGATGATGATGGGATTTAGAATGGGGGTGGAGGAGAAGGAAAAAGAGAAGGCATTGGGGTGGAAGAGAAGTCACCCCATGGCGCCATTTCACCCATAAAATTTTAGCTCTCTTGGTGTAATTCAAGATTATTTTCTTTAAATAAACACTGCACTGCATTATATATTGTCAATATGTAAAATATATTTCAAAATGACCAATAATTTGCTTGGAAACACAGAAAAAAAGCGTTTAGTTGAAGAGAGTCTCAAGCAAGATGTTACCTCCAGTGAAAACAGAGAGAGGCTAACTCCTGTTTGCTGTGTTAAGAGGCTGGATGCCGCCCATTAAACTAGTCACTTTACCTTCAATTATGTTCAATAATTGTTAAAATTACAAAAAAAATTGAATATTAAACTTTTAAAATTATTGAATAGTATAAACTTCTTGATATTTACTAAAATAGTAAGGAATTTAAGCCCTAGAACCGATTAATGTATTGGCGGACTGATACTAAAGCTGGTTGCCCGGTCAGTGCAAGCAAAAACATGTTGAGGTCGGTTCGTAAGAACTTCGTTAACCGAATTTTTTTTCGTTAACCGAATTGAAGATCCTTATGGAAGGCAGTTCGTCAATCGAAATTACATTAACCGAGGTGTTCGTTAAACGAGGGGTCACTGTATATGCAGTACAGGGAACTAGTTTTTTGTGCACCCATCAGGAGCTTGACTTACCCGCCAAAGCGTCAGTTTAACTTTTTTTTGCAGTGGAGGAAACATCGTTTTTGCTGCTCTCTTGAATACAGAATATTTTTACATTTTTACATTAATATTTTTGGTCATTCTGAAATTTAGTAAACATATTGACAATATATAGCGCAGTGCCGTGTTGATTTAAATAAAATAATATTTAATTACAGCTAGTGAACTTAAAATTTTATTGGTGAAATTACTGCATCAAGCATGGGTCCAAAGAAAGGCGATTTCTCCTCCATTCCAACCGGGTTGGAGGAGAAGGGAAAAGAGAAGGAAGTGGGGATGGAGGAGAAATCGCCTTTCTTTGGACCCATGCTTGATGCATTAATTTCACCAATAAAATTTTAAGTTCACTAGGTGTAATTCAAGATTAATTTCTTTAAATCAACACAGCACTGCGCTTTACTGTATATTATCAATATGTTAACTGAAGTTCAGAATTACCAATAATTTCAATGAAAAATGCACAAAGATTCAAAACACCAGCAAAATAGATGCTCTCCACTGTTTTCAAAGCCCAACTGACGCCTTGTGACCGACTCACGCATCTGATGGGTGCACAACAAACTAGTTCCCTGTACTGCATATATTATCAATATGTTAACTAAATTTTAAAATGTCTAATAATTGTAATATAAAACAGGTCACTGACCCACATCGGGGCCTGGGGGGCGAAAATGTAAAAATAATAATAATAATAATAATAATAATAATAATAATAACAATAATAATAACATTAATAATAACAATAATAAAAAAGAACCACAAAGAAATACAAAATGAAAAAAAAAATCAAAAGTGGGGAACAATATATGTATGTTGTGTTGTCAATAGTAAGAGAAACAATTGAGACCCTGCAATTGTTTGTAAATGAGGCAGAAAGTCAGATCAGCAACCTGGGACTTGGTCACAATTTTTGTGATACCATGTGGCAGCAGGATCTACCATAGACAACACATTATGCTTCCAATATCTTCCCAGGCGGTAGTACCCCCCTGTTTGGTAGCTGCCTAATACCTTTTGTTGTGAGCTGATGCTCACAACAAAACATGATTTTCGTAAGGATTTCGTTAATCAAATTTTTTTTCGTTAACAGAATTGAAGAATCTTATGGAAGATAATTCGTTAACCGAGATTTCGTTAACTGAACCGTTCGTTAACCGCAGATGTATATATATATCTAAAAGTTTGGTGAAATAAATATATTTATAAAAAAACAAATGATCTATTGATATAAGTGTGAATTGAGCTTTGTGTTACAGCAAAGACAGTGTGGTATTTTCCACGATTCAAAACGACACATCTCACAGGCGCTGTATTTATATACACAAACACCACTGTGCATGTACAATATTGTTCATACTGTAAACAAAATAATGTATACTACTGTACTGTACTGTATGTACTGTACTCAATAGCAGACACTGTTCATTCAGCTGACTGTAATCACGTCTTAATATTTGCGATGGAGGTTAGGTGGCAGATTAGTGGGTCATGTTACTGACCTGATCTGATGCAATATCACATCACCCATTGTAGGGGTGGGGGATTAGTGGGTCTCATGACCTGAAGAGGTCTTGAATAAAGACAAAGGGTAAGGTGCTCCAGTGTTTCCCACCTACTAAATGTATAGAATATGTAGTAGTAATCATTTTTTACATTCTTAATACTGCTTTAACACTATTTTTGGCTGATTTTGTTCTGGTACAGTAATGTACAGCACTGCACAACACAAATTGTACACAAAAACAGCAGCTAGCGAGGGACTAACCTACAATGGCAGCAGAATATGAACTAAGCAATCCAAACAGCTTGGCCACCTACCCACGTGCCAGGTTGGAGGGTGATGCAATCCTTCGGAATGCCCTGAAATTTTATTCCCGGCTCCAGAAATGAATTTTTTTTAGATTTTCCATAATTCTTCTTGGAATTTTCAGAAAATGCACCTGATTTTCAACATCAGATTTTGTTCCCAAAACCGGAATTGAGAATTTTTCCCGAAAAATTTCGAGCAAATTCAATTCCAGCTATTGGAGAGTTCCGGTTATTAAGGAATTCTAGCTAATGGAGATTAAAACCATAATATTTTATTTTGCTTTCTGCTTTTGGATATTATACATACAAATTTAATACAGTTTATAGATTCATTATGAATGAAGTTTAATTGTACTGGAAAGTTATTTTTATGTCACCAATGAGATGATGAAGAAATGATAAATATAATGACATTTTTCACTCAGAAATCCCACTTATTATACTGTACAGGAGTGTTTGGGATTACTGTATAAAAGACTAGTGCTAAAGGTAGAAGTAAACAAATTTTGTTTCATTGTGAATTTTTTCATCTCAGGGAGCGAGACCGTGAGTCCCGAAGCTACCGTGACACTCGGGACAACAGGGACCAAAGAAGCAGCGAAACGCGTGAACAGCGCGACAATAGAGACCCCAGAGCTGGAGACAGAGACTACCGCAACAATCCTCCCAGCGATGCCCGGGACCCACGAGGGGCGCGCCCAACCTTCCCTCAGGATAAGGACTTCAGAAGCAGTGAGTCGTTAGGGTTGTCATATTGAAGCAAATTACTTGATTGTTAACAAAATATTGAAGTTGATAAGAAAGGATATAACGTGATATAAAGGAAAGCTGCAGTATTATTAATTTTTTAGGTTGAGAAATATACAGAATATTTTAAGGGAAATATTGAGAATGATAGATGAAGAGTGAGGGAGCATGAAGATGTGGAGTACATAATGTTCAGGCTTTAATGTGTGATTTGGATGGCACAGTATTTACTCCTTCACTACAGGGATGCCACTTTTCATATTTATTTAGGTAATGCTAGATAATTTTATTCATGCACAAGGGTTTCATGGGTTTAATGAAACAACATGTTGAATATGGACAACTTACACACTTAGGGATGATAAGAGTAAGGTGCGGGGGGACGATATTAGGACTATGGATTGATGTGCTGTGTAGTTTATTACCTGAAAAGGGTGATGAAACTACTGATTTATTTTAATGCTTAATCCTGTTTTCATTTGTCAGCCAAAATCGTCAATAAGCTTTGGGTTGGCTGCTCATCTGTAAAGTACACAGTCTCATGTCACTGTACAGTACAGTACTCACTTTGTGTGGGGAAGACTCCTGATGTTAGTTTTTTTTGTTTTTGTACTTATAAGCAAAGGGAATATTATCTGCCACACATTGAAATACACAAGTAACACATAACTTGAGAGGAAACATTTTTTAGCAGGTCATATAACTCAGATAAGAAACAGTTAATTATAAAAGAAAGTCTTGTGGTCAAGAGACGTTGTTGCTGTAGCATATCAGTGCTTCTCTGTATATTACTGTACTGTACAGGTGCACAACTTGAGCACCGAAAGAGCTGCAGTATTCACATTTGGTTTCTGAATTTAACATGATGCTTCATAAAGCCTCCACATTTTTAGGGTCAAAAGGTCATTGGTTAAGGTCACAGTTGTGAAAGTTTTATCCCTAGAGGGTAAAAAAAATTTAACTTCCAACGTGTATATAAAGTATATTACCACTTTATTGAAACAAATTGTCCTAAGTGTAATTATAATTTTTATCAGGGTAATTTTGCTGTTGATGCCACTGCATGTATCAGGGTGCTCCCATAATATGACATATGTTGTAATCCACTGACAATAGTTAAAATACATATTATCTTCACGAACAGGTGGAAACCCACCTCCTCCTCCCATTGGTGGACCCTCACAACCTCCTCCTCGAGGTGTTCCCCCACCTGCAACTGCTCCTGCTGCCCTTCCTGCCAGCCTAGCAGGACAAGATCAAGAGAAGGTTAGTAAAGTAGTGTCTTTATTCAGGTATTTTATTTTGTTATTATTTTGACAAAAATTAAGATGGTTGTATATATAAGAGGAGGGATGGTCTCTTTCATGCCATTCTCTCACTACACAATTTGTGACACTTCTCTATTCCTTCTGCAGCTATTAGCACTTCATTGTTAGTCTTGCTCTTCTTCCACTTATTACACCTTCACATTTAACACAACCCAGACAAAGTCACATCACCTCACATTACATTGTTTCAGGCAACTCAGAGAAGCAGGATAAAAATATTTTCAGTTAATTTTGTAAGTAAAAACTTATTCCCACATATGTTGACTGGGGTTATTTTAGATGTAATTTTCAGTATATAGAGAAAATAAAAATACATATTGAATGGCCATTGTTTCTTTACCTTATGTAACTGTTATCTTAAATGTAGTGGGATATCATATTTAAGTCTACTTGTCCCCTTATTAACTATAGATGTACTGTGTCCATAAAGTTGTCATTCAACGACTGGGTGATATAGACATAGATGTCAGCAGTGTGTTTTGCTCACCTCTATCCTTCTGAGTTTGTTTCTTGAACCATTTCCAATAGTTTATGTACTGTACAGATTATGTTTATAAAAGATGCTCTTAATGTCTAATGTTCCTTTTATTTAAAAATAACAATAAGTAACACTAACCTCCTTCCTCTGTTGTTCCAGGCCAGTTTGATCATGCAGGTGTTGCAGCTCTCTGATGAACAGATAAAGATGCTTCCACCAGAGCAGCGAGCCTCCATCCTGCAGCTGAAGGAGCAGATTCAGCGTTCTCAACATTAGATTTTAGAATAAGTTCTTATTATTTTAGTATTAAGAGATGGATCACAGCAAACTGCAATATCAGTTTATTTAAACTGGTATTATATCAGCCATTATTTGTACTGTATATTACTTTAACCATAAAATATTTCACAAATTCTAACTGTGATTTATGGTGCCAATATATTTTATTTTTAGGGGGGAGGGCCTGGTATGTTTTATTATTAGGGCATGGTATGGTTTTTCTTTTTTTGGGGGGGGGGTAAGCTCTTACAGGAAAATTGAATCATATTTTTTGTTTTGTTTTTGTCAGTTACAGACACTGGCGATGAACGTGTTCATCTGGGAGGGCTAAAGACATTATATGACAGCTTATTTTATTATATTAAGGAGACAGGAGAACTATTTGTAAACATTTGGAATTAAATACATCTACCGATTTGAATATTTCTCCATAGCTTTAATGTCCCCTGTTAAAGACGATTTTTTATTTGTTTATTTTATTTTATTTTTATTTATTTATAATATTTTTTTAATACTTAATTTGGTCATTACAGGTACAGTATAGTACAGGTATACCTTATTACCCCTTTGGGGATGATCGTACTCAAGAAGTTGACATTGTACTCAAGGGGTTAAGATATCATACTCAAGGGGTTAAGATATCATACTCAAGGGGTTAAGATATCATACTCAAGGGGTTAAGATATCATACTCAAGGGGTTAAGATATCATACTCAAGAGGTTAAGATATCATACTCAAGGGTTAAGGAGGTTAAGATATCATACTCAAGGGGTTAAGATATCATACTCAAGAGGTTAAGATATCATACTCAAGAGGTTAAGATATCATACTCAAGGGGTTAAGATATCATACTCAAGGGGTTAAGATATCATACATACTCAAGGGGTTAAGATATCATACTCAAGAGGTTAAGATATCATACTCAAGAGGTTAAGATATCATACTCAAGGGGTTAAGATATCATACTCAAGAGGTTAAGATATCATACTCAAGGGGTTAAGATATCATACTCAAGGGGTTAAGATATCATACTCAAGGGCTAAGATATCATACTCAAGGGGTTAAGATATCATACTCAAGAGGTTAAGATATCATACTCAAGGGTTAAGATATCATACTCAAGGGGTTAAGATATCATACTCAAGGGGTTAAGATATCATACTCAAGAGGTTAAGATATCATACTCAAGGGGTTAAGATATCATACTCAAGGGTTAAGATATCATACTCAAGGGGTTAAGATATCATACTCAAGAGGTTAAGATATCATACTCAAGGGGTTAAGATATCATACTCAAGGGGTTAAGATATCATACTCAAGAGGTTAAGATATCATACTCAAGGGGTTAAGATATCATACTCAAGAGGTTAAGATATCATACTCAAGAGGTTAAGATATCATACTCATAGGGTTAAGATATCATACTCAAGGGGTTAAGATATCTATGGTCATTAAGATACATACTCAAGAGGTTAAGATATCATACTCATAGGGTTAAGATATCATACTCAAGAGGTTAAGATATCATACTCATAGGGTTAAGATATCATACTCAAGGGGTTAAGATATCATACTCATAGGGTTAAGATATCATACTCAAGAGGTTAAGATATCATACTCAAGAGGTTAAGATATCATACTCATAGGGTTAAGATATCATACTCAAGGGGTTAAGATATCATACTCAAGAGGTTAAGATATCATACTCATAGGGTTAAGATATCATACTCAAGGGGTTAAGATATCATACTCATAGGGTTAAGATATCATACTCAAGAGGTTAAGATATCATACTCAAGGGGTTAAGATATCATACTCAAGAGGTTAAGATATCATACTCAAGGGGTTAAGATATCATACTCAAGGGGTTAAGATATCATACTCAAGGGGTTAAGATATCATACTCAAGGGGTTAAGATATCATACTCAAGGGGTTAAGATATCATACTCAAGGGGTTAAGATATCATACTCAAGAGGTTAAGATATCATACTCAAGAGGTTAAGATATCATACTCAAGGGGTTAAGATATCATACTCAAGGGGTTAAGATATCATACTCAAGGGGTTAAGATATCATACTCAAGGGGTTAAGATATCATACTCAAGGTGTTAAGATATCATACTCAAGGGGTTAAGATATCATACTTAAGGGGTTAAGATATCATACTCAAGGGGTTAAGATATCATACTCAAGGGGTTAAGATATCATACTCAAGAGGTTAAGATATCATACTCAAGGGGTTAAGATATCATACTCAAGAGGTTAAGATATCATACTCAAGAGGTTAAGATATCATACTCATAGGGTTAAGATATCATACTCAAGGGGTTAAGATATCATACTCAAGAGGTTAAGATATCATACTCATAGGGTTAAGATATCAAGAGATATCATACATACTCAAGGGGTTAAGATATCATACTCAAGAGGTTAAGATATCATACTCAAGGGGTTAAGATATCATACTCAAGAGGTTAAGATATCATACTCAAGGGGTTAAGATATCATACTCAAGAGGTTAAGATATCATACTCAAGAGGTTAAGATATCATACTCAAGGGGTTAAGATATCATACTCAAGGGGTTAAGATATCATACTCAAGGGGTTAAGATATCATACTCAAGGGGTTAAGATATCATACTCAAGGGGTTAAGATATCATACTCAAGGGGTTAAGATATCATACTCAAGAGGTTAAGATATCATACTCAAGAGGTTAAGATATCATACTCAAGAGGTTAAGATATCATACTCAAGGGGTTAAGATATCATACTCAAGGGGTTAAGATATCATACTCAAGGGGTTAAGATATCATACTCAAGAGGTTAAGATATCATACTCAAGAGGTTAAGATATCATACTCAAGGGGTTAAGATATCATACTCAAGGGGTTAAGATATCATACTCAAGAGGTTAAGATATCATACTCAAGGGGTTAAGATATCTTACTCAAGAGGTTAAGATATCATACTCATAGGGTTAAGATATCATACTCATAGGGTTAAGATATCATACTCAAGGGGTTAAGATATCATACTCAAGGGGTTAAGATATCATACTCAAGGGGTTAAGATATCATACTCAAGAGGTTAAGATATCATACTCAAGGGGTTAAGATATCATACTCAAGGGGTTAAGATATCATACTCAAGGGGTTAAGATATCATACTCATAGGGTTAAGATATCATACTCAAGAGGTTAAGATATCATACTCAAGAGGTTAAGATATCATACTCAAGGGGTTAAGATATCATACTCAAGAGGTTAAGATATCATACTCAAGGGGTTAAGATATCATACTCAAGAGGTTAAGATATCATACTTAAGAGGTTAAGATATCATACTCAAGGGGTTAAGATATCATACTCATAGGGTTAAGATATCATACTCAAGGGGTTAAGGTATCATACTTAAGAGGTTAAGATATCATACTCAAGGGGTTAAGATATCATACTCAAGAGGTTAAGATATCATACTCAAGGGGTTAAGATGTCATACTCTAAGGGCTAAGATATCATACTCAAGGGGTTAAAGAGATCTCTCATGTCTTCCTGCAAGTGGAGTGAGACCTATTGACTTGCACCAGTTCAGGGCCACACTTCATGTTTTTTGAGTCACTTCGTTATCTGGCCAGAACAATGTTTTACTCACCAGTCTTCACCTTTATGTTGCATGACAGTGTTCCGATTATTGAGATAATTGTTCTATTCTGTATGTCAGTGTGATAGTGATTCATTATTGTATTATTTCACATTCATCTGCCTTCACTTCCTAGTTTGTTCATGTATTTGAGTGGCATAATACAGTGTTTAATATTCCCAATTACATCATAGTGAGGTAACAAACTACAGTTATGTTATTGTAAAGCTGCACTTGATAAACATGTGTTACCCTGTACTGTAAGTGAGGTTTACATGTACTGTACAGGTAAACAGAATTGATCTTTTAAGATATTTTTGCACTTGTTCAGTCTTGTTTGACTTATACAAGAGCTGTAGTCTAGTGGTAGTTCAGTAATTAAAATAATCACAAACACTCATAAGAAAACCTACATTATATCGTAGTATGTTAGCTCGTGAATCATTACATGTTTGCAAGTTCACTGCATCAAAGTTAATGCACTTTTAATTTATTCAAACAAGGAAAGGAATAAAACATTTTTTTTATGACCTTTAAAGCTTTTATTTTACTTATTTGCACACAACTTTTCCTTTGTAAAATTATAGCTACACAATAGTGACAGATGTGCTACCAACACCTGTGGAGTTGAGTGATAAACTCCAACTGACAAAGGAAAAAAATAACTCCTGTCTTTACAGAACAGCTACATTAACTGCCTCAAGTGCCATCATTATTTTTAAAAAGAAAGTCTAACCTGTCTTTATATTTATTTATATAATAAGAACTTAATTTGGTAAAATCTCATTTGCAGTGTTAGTATATTACATGAGATATACCCAGAAGGTAAATCATAAATTAGTATTTATATGACTATTAAACAATTATTTGTAGCTTGATCACATCAACGATATAGCAGGTGATATTCTTAAAACCCAACAAACTAAAAATCTTCAACAGTTGTATATAAGCCTGATGGCAATGGTTGACACAAGGCACTTATTATGTAATTATTTATATAAGGAATGCTTAGTATGATTAAAATAAGTAATACAGTTATTTTGCTTTAGCAAAAGACCTTGAGTTGCACTGTACCTGTTATAAGGTTATGAACAAACTAAGGAGTTCCTCAGGCAGTCGCACTTCATGTAAAAGTATGCACGGCTCACCTGCCTGAGATGGATGGTGTAGTACAGCCTGGGGTGTTATTAGTATTGGTCACCATCATCTCATTACATTCACTCTGGCAAGTGTGAGTGTACTCATAACTGTGTTTGTAAGTAATGTGTAATTTGCTCATGTAATTATTTCTCTTAGTTTTTTCTTCTATATGTTCTTTACTGATGACACAATTCTTTCAATGTACAGTATAGTATATTTATGTTTTTTACCATAGAAACATTACAAGCTACTGTACCTCAATAATACCATTATAGTACAGTCAAAGAAAAAATCATGTTACACCCCTTAGTGTTATGTTCCGAAACCCATGGCGAAGAATTTGGGTAAAGTGTTAGAGAAGCATCGAGGTTCAAATCTGAACGGGGAACTTTACCAAACTTCTTCGTCAAGAGTTTTAAAAACATATGTCAGATATTTGAGATCTTCAGTGTAGAAGTATATGAGGGTCTGTGTATATAAACCCTCTTGTCTTAAATATACTGTATGGAGAGACTCTCATTCATCATCATCACCTTTACTATTTTACGGTCATTTTACGCTTCCATCTCGCCTCATTTTAGCTCACTCAAGCCTGTATATGTCATCCTCTTTAACCGTCCATGCTTCACTGCCACACAACAT